ACTTTATATGTAGATGCCTATACTTCAAGCTATAATAAAAACATTACAAGCAAGAGAATAGCTTGGCTACATTTCTATAAAAAAAAAAAAAATTAAGTTTAATGGTAATATATTATTATTAAATTTTATTTTAAAAAAATATCCATGCATTTTTAATATACCTGAAGATTCATCTTTAGCAGGTTTTGTTGAAGATGGGATAGATGGTGAAATTTCTGATAATGGCACAATCTGGATATCAAGTCCCTTCTCTGCAAGGTTTTCTGCTAACACTTTCATAACTGTACCATAATCTTCTTGACTAATAGTTACCTATTTATATTAATTTTCATAATTACAAAAAGCAATTTAGAAGTGTTACATTTTGTAGTGCAAATGTTTGGCGGATAATTCAATATTTTAACACTTTCCAATCTGTGAATGAGTCTTGCTTGTTCACAATTTTAAACAATATTTTATTGGGTTAAACTCATACAATACTAATGTAGGAAGTAAATTTAATGGATAAATTAAGAATAAATGATAATTCCAGGTTAGAAATACATAGTTCTGATGCCAAAACCAAAGAAAATCTGATTTAAGCTCCAATGTAAATCTTATGCTATTATATCAGACTTCTTTAAAATAGACAAAATATTTTATCTTAATTTTCAAACATTTCTTCCCTTTAATGATCATTCTGTTAGTTGTTTCATGTTAACAAAAGTACAAAGAATCAAATCCCAAAATATTATATATTATTGGTTCATTTTCTATGAATTTTTGAAAATAACCAAAACACCCCAGTCTGCATAGGCATACACAAGGATAAATGCCCAGTTTGGAAAGTGTTAAAATTATGATTCAATATATTGTTATTGTAAAATGCAAGTTGTTAAAATGCATTGAAAAACTCTAAGACATTGTAAATAATTTTTTCTATATATTTTAATTATTCTTAAATAATACATTATGCAGAAATTTTTGTTTTGAAAAGGCACTAGTTATGCACTTTCTCAGATAAGAAAATTTTTATAAGATCACTTCTCAAAAGCGTTACTTTAGTTTTAATCATCTTGAATCAAATTATAGCCATACCGTGATAACTTAATCACATCATTTGTTGTAGTGGAAATCCAAATTTCCACAACAACAAATGATGTTCTTTATTATCTTTAGTGAGATAACATAATTTAATACAACTAATATTACAAAAACTTTGAAGCACATTTGCAAAAAATTCAAAAATCATGCAAGTAAAATAGAAAGTAGGGAGCACTTCCATTTTCAGTATTTGTTTTATCTGTTTCAGTGGCATTGTGCAGTTTGGAATTTTTTTATCACGAAATTCCAGAGCAACTTTGCTTATTTTCATTGTTGTTCTATTTTCACACAAATATTTTAGTATAAAATGTAAATACCAGTACTGTATAAAGTAGACTCAATAACCTGAAACATATCCTCTTGAGTAACTTTTGAGTAATTTTTTTAAATATGAAGTAGATATATGAACTACAAATGTAGATCATTTACAATTACTAATAGGAAGTACTACACAAGCTGATTCATTGTATTACTGTTTCCAAGCATATCACACAGCATATTGTGATGTATATGTTATGGCCAAAGCCCAAAATCGGCCAAAGTGAGAAGAGTCCAGCCAATCGAGAAATGGCCAAAGTTGCTATAAATTGACTGGCCAATGTCCGATCTTTTCTTGATTTTGGGATTTGGCTGGCCAGTTTGCGAAATGGCATGGGATGATCAGCAAAAGTCAGAAAAAAACGTCATGAGCAGATTTTGGTGGGTCTGTAAAATTTCATACTTTATATTGATTATTAATTATAAATTACCAAATTCAATTATGTGTTATGCTTATTAATCATAATAAATTATCAATCTCTACCATCACTTGTTACAACAAGATATACTTTTATGAAATTTCAAATTACACATCATTTGTTATTTTCACATTTGCAGCTATTTGTTGCACACTTAGTAGTGCAATAATATATGTAAGATTTGTGTANAGATAAGAAAATTTTTATAAGATCACTTCTCAAAAGCGTTACTTTAGTTTTAATCATCTTGAATCAAATTATAGCCATACCGTGATAACTTAATCACATCATTTGTTGTAGTGGAAATCCAAATTTCCACAACAACAAATGATGTTCTTTATTATCTTTAGTGAGATAACATAATTTAATACAACTAATATTACAAAAACTTTGAAGCACATTTGCAAAAAATTCAAAAATCATGCAAGTAAAATAGAAAGTAGGGAGCACTTCCATTTTCAGTATTTGTTTTATCTGTTTCAGTGGCATTGTGCAGTTTGGAATTTTTTTATCACGAAATTCCAGAGCAACTTTGCTTATTTTCATTGTTGTTCTATTTTCACACAAATATTTTAGTATAAAATGTAAATACCAGTACTGTATAAAGTAGACTCAATAACCTGAAACATATCCTCTTGAGTAACTTTTGAGTAATTTTTTTAAATATGAAGTAGATATATGAACTACAAATGTAGATCATTTACAATTACTAATAGGAAGTACTACACAAGCTGATTCATTGTATTACTGTTTCCAAGCATATCACACAGCATATTGTGATGTATATGTTATGGCCAAAGCCCAAAATCGGCCAAAGTGAGAAGAGTCCAGCCAATCGAGAAATGGCCAAAGTTGCTATAAATTGACTGGCCAATGTCCGATCTTTTCTTGATTTTGGGATTTGGCTGGCCAGTTTGCGAAATGGCATGGGATGATCAGCAAAAGTCAGAAAAAAACGTCATGAGCAGATTTTGGTGGGTCTGTAAAATTTCATACTTTATATTGATTATTAATTATAAATTACCAAATTCAATTATGTGTTATGCTTATTAATCATAATAAATTATCAATCTCTACCATCACTTGTTACAACAAGATATACTTTTATGAAATTTCAAATTACACATCATTTGTTATTTTCACATTTGCAGCTATTTGTTGCACACTTAGTAGTGCAATAATATATGTAAGATTTGTGTATATACATACACACATATACAGTATACACACCTTAAACAATATCTTAAAGACATCAAGACATTAGAAATCAAGTGATGTCTTGATAAGTATAACACTTATGCTATAGATTACACTTGGTTTTGGTTTATTAGATTTAATTCATTTCTCCTCCTTATATTATAACTTAATTTATATAATTATAAAGTTGAATATAAATTACATTGCTAAAAATATGGCTGCTATTAAAATTTAAAAATTTTATTTGAATTTCATGACTTTTGATCTTGGTCTATAATGAAATATTTTAAATTACAAATTACATTTGATAAAAATTCTGACTACTTGACAATTAAATTTTAAAAGATTTTTGAAATTTAGATGAAATGGCTGAAATTCAATAAATTCAAACAATTATAAAAAGTATGTAATTTAATAATAAAATACTTACAGTTACAGCTTTCAGTTTCCCAGACACATCAATTTCTGGTTTATCTTTATGCCAATTAAATGCAAGATTTCGAAGCACACTTAAAGTAAATGTTAGAGGTTCCAGTAATAAGCATTCAGCAGAAATGCTTTCATTTTGATATTCTATTATTGCTCTAAAAACAGCAAAAGCATATTTTGTATTTTTAGAAATTAATTTTTACTTAAATTATTACAAGTCCCTTCTCTGCAAGGTTTTCTGCTAACACTTTCATAACTGTACCATAATCTTCTTGACTAATGGTAATATATTATTATTAAATTTTATTTTAAAAAAATATCCATGCATTTTTAATATACCTGAAGATTCATCTTTAGCAGGTTTTGTTGAAGATGGGATAGATGGTGAAATTTCTGATAATGGCACAATCTGGATATCAAGTCCCTTCTCTGCAAGGTTTTCTGCTAACACTTTCATAACTGTACCATAATCTTCTTGACTAATAGTTACCTATTTATATTAATTTTCATAATTACAAAAAGCAATTTAGAAGTGTTACATTTTGTAGTGCAAATGTTTGGCGGATAATTCAATATTTTAACACTTTCCAATCTGTGAATGAGTCTTGCTTGTTCACAATTTTAAACAATATTTTATTGGGTTAAACTCATACAATACTAATGTAGGAAGTAAATTTAATGGATAAATTAAGAATAAATGATAATTCCAGGTTAGAAATACATAGTTCTGATGCCAAAACCAAAGAAAATCTGATTTAAGCTCCAATGTAAATCTTATGCTATTATATCAGACTTCTTTAAAATAGACAAAATATTTTATCTTAATTTTCAAACATTTCTTCCCTTTAATGATCATTCTGTTAGTTGTTTCATGTTAACAAAAGTACAAAGAATCAAATCCCAAAATATTATATATTATTGGTTCATTTTCTATGAATTTTTGAAAATAACCAAAACACCCCAGTCTGCATAGGCATACACAAGGATAAATGCCCAGTTTGGAAAGTGTTAAAATTATGATTCAATATATTGTTATTGTAAAATGCAAGTTGTTAAAATGCATTGAAAAACTCTAAGACATTGTAAATAATTTTTTCTATATATTTTAATTATTCTTAAATAATACATATGTATAACAAATTATGTTATTATACAATTTTTCACATTTACTTGATTATCACACCTTTAACAGTTTCCATCTCATCGATAATACCATGACGTTTATGAATGATGCTTGAATTTAAAGATTGAGCATTTTCTACAGCTTTAAGAATTTTTTCTTTGTCTTTTATAATTGTTCTGATTGTCAATTCCGGTAGATCAAACTTCTTTGCCAATTCACAAATTTTCATTTTTGTATCAAAGTCTTTAACAATGTTAACTTTACATTCCAAAGATAAAGTTTTTCTTTTCTTGTTTGATGCAGAAGAATCAGTTCTATTTCGTTTAGATGACATAGTAGAGTCTCTCAAGTCTCCATAGATATAACAAACACAGAAATAAATAACACAAAATAAATTGTAGCTATATGTCGATTCCGTGTGACATGTCCGAACATGTAAGCCAAACAATAGTGTGGGGGGAGTAAGTAATCAAGAGTTGTGTGGAACTCAAACAAAAGATGAATCGACGAGATTTGAAAATTGCGTAACTCCGGGTAGCGTAAGTCGGGATAGTGTAAATCGGGGTAGCGTAAGTCGGGGTATTACTGTATAGCTTAATTTAATAAAGCCTAATTTTTTCAAGATAAGTAAATAATTTTATATTACCTCTTAACTCCTGTCTTCCTTGTAAATCTAGTATCATCTAAAATAAAATCAATAAGCAGGATTTCTGCTTGAAGAGAATTATCAGTCATAATTTTTCCAGACAATGAAATAGTTTTCAGTTCAATATAAGACAATGCTTTCTTATTATTTCGTTTAGTAACACCTTTATTCTGTAAATAAAAACAATTAAAAATCTTTAATATCCTAAAATTAATTAATGTGTAATAAGCAGTAACTCCTTAAACTATACTAGGATTTATTGCAAGAAAACATCAAATAGAATAATGTATAACAGGATGCAATCTTAACATTCTTATATAAATTTCTATTAAAGTAAACTGACATAAAAACAAGTTAATGTTTTAAATGGAACATTAAAAAAGGAAAGTTTAAAGATTCAAATATATCAAGTATTCATATAATTCAAAAACTTTATGAGAAAAAAAAAGCATTGTAATAAACAAAAAAATTATTGAAATGAAATATATAACAGTAATTTTAAAATATAAGATTAATTTTTTCCTTTTTTATTAATGAAAATTTAATAACTAAAGTTAAAATTAATATTAATAAAATCAGAGTTAATAAAATGAAACAAATATGAAATCATTGCATACAGTTAACTTGCTGTCTGTTTCTAATTTTTAAAAGGAAAGTCAGTTCCAAAACTTGAATACAAAATCAGAATTATTGGCCTCATGGTTTAAGATAGTCATAAAAATAAGGTGGCTCAACTATTGGGTTGTTTGAAAAGTAAGTTTGTTTTTTTTCCATGAAAAAAAACACAATATTTTTATAATAAACTAGCTTACCCGTCGCGCATTGCTGCGATCTCAGAAGTGATGAAATTCAAGCAAACTCGTTATAATAAAATTAAATTTTCATTTTATCATTTTTATTGAAATATATTATTATTATTCGTTATCATCGGGAAAACATTTCAAAGTGTCGTTTCAATTCTATTTATTTATTGGAGTGCTCGTGGATACACGATATTTTTTGTTTTTTCGTCTTGTGCGTACAGGTAACTCGGAAGGTTTTCCGACGCGTGAGCTGGCCACATACAGTTGTCCATGCGAGAAGCACGGATTCTCCAAATTTAGCCCACACACTTGCAGCGATTGTCAAAAGCGCGATATTCCCCATTNTATGGCCAAAGCCCAAAATCGGCCAAAGTGAGAAGAGTCCAGCCAATCGAGAAATGGCCAAAGTTGCTATAAATTGACTGGCCAATGTCCGATCTTTTCTTGATTTTGGGATTTGGCTGGCCAGTTTGCGAAATGGCATGGGATGATCAGCAAAAGTCAGAAAAAAACGTCATGAGCAGATTTTGGTGGGTCTGTAAAATTTCATACTTTATATTGATTATTAATTATAAATTACCAAATTCAATTATGTGTTATGCTTATTAATCATAATAAATTATCAATCTCTACCATCACTTGTTACAACAAGATATACTTTTATGAAATTTCAAATTACACATCATTTGTTATTTTCACATTTGCAGCTATTTGTTGCACACTTAGTAGTGCAATAATATATGTAAGATTTGTGTATATACATACACACATATACAGTATACACACCTTAAACAATATCTTAAAGACATCAAGACATTAGAAATCAAGTGATGTCTTGATAAGTATAACACTTATGCTATAGATTACACTTGGTTTTGGTTTATTAGATTTAATTCATTTCTCCTCCTTATATTATAACTTAATTTATATAATTATAAAGTTGAATATAAATTACATTGCTAAAAATATGGCTGCTATTAAAATTTAAAAATTTTATTTGAATTTCATGACTTTTGATCTTGGTCTATAATGAAATATTTTAAATTACAAATTACATTTGATAAAAATTCTGACTACTTGACAATTAAATTTTAAAAGATTTTTGAAATTTAGATGAAATGGCTGAAATTCAATAAATTCAAACAATTATAAAAAGTATGTAATTTAATAATAAAATACTTACAGTTACAGCTTTCAGTTTCCCAGACACATCAATTTCTGGTTTATCTTTATGCCAATTAAATGCAAGATTTCGAAGCACACTTAAAGTAAATGTTAGAGGTTCCAGTAATAAGCATTCAGCAGAAATGCTTTCATTTTGATATTCTATTATTGCTCTAAAAACAGCAAAAGCATATTTTGTATTTTTAGAAATTAATTTTTACTTAAATTATTATTAATAATAATCATGAAGATTGTCTCAGATTTGAAAAAAATTTTAGACATACAATAGTATTTTTCTCTTAAAATCTTTTCAAACTTTTGAATGGAAAACTTAATTTTTTCTATTAAAACAATTTTAAAAATAACTTGTCTTTGAATTTATTATTACATATACAGTGGAACCTCGGTATATGACCTTAATCCGTTCCTGATGTTTGGACTTAAACTGAATAGGACATATACCAAACCAACCTTTTCCGTATAAAGTAATGTAAAAATGATTAATCCGTTCTCATGTAAAAACAAATGGCTGGCTTTAAACACCTCGCTTTCCTGGCTAGTTCCTGCTTGATTTTTCATCAGATCAGCATGTATCTTTTTAGCTTTCTCGCAAATAATTGCTTCTGATACGCTGTCACCAGCACACTGTTTTTCAGTTATCCAAAGCAAAAGCAATTTCTCGACATGATCTAATGTCTTTGATCTCTGTTTAGAAATTGATTTAACCCCTTTCGCAATGTTAGCAGATTTAATAATGTCTTCATTTTTCACGATTGTCAATATCATCATTCTCGGAATACGGTATGCAACAGTTAAATCTCAAACATGCATGCCACCTTCATATTTCTCAATAATCTCTTTTTTCAGTTCCATTGTGATTCTAGTCATTTTTTTAGTTTTCTGTTGCTTTTCATTTACATTTTTGCTATTCATAGTTAATAAAAATAATAAAATTTTACTTACAAATTAAAATCAGAGGAAATTTAACAAAGTTATAAACTGTGGCACTGCAAACATCTAGTCTGGTTTAGTACTGATACTCATGCTACTTGTTCATAGATGGTGTGTATAATTGAATTAAGTCATGTACCGAGCAAAATTTGTTTCGTCCAAACAGGACGTATTCTGAATTGAATGTATTCTAAAGCAGATGTATACTGAGGTACCACTGTATTAAAATTTATGAAGTTGCAGGAATATTAATAATATATAATGATATAGAACATCCTTGTACCATATATCCATGGATTGTCAATGCATGTCAGTCTATCCAGGGGAGACCATAAAATCATGTATTTCTGAATGATAAAAACTGGAATGCTATTTATACCAAGCTAATGCCAGCATGCCTATTTAAGTGAGGTTATACATCCCTCTGCAGAGGATGCATGGAAAAAACAATTTATGTCACATGGTGTCTCATAGTTTTAATTGTAAAATTGTGAAACTGCCAGCATTATATCAAAAACTACAACTATGTTTAATTTCTGCATTTTGTCTTCTTTCTAACAATATAAAACACTTGTGGAATGATGAAAGTGCTTTTTTTATGCTTATTATATTATAATTTGATCCAAAAATGCAAAAATAAATCATATGAAATTTCACAAACTCGCTGTAAATTATCTCAATTTACACAAACGAACATCCCTTTTTTGTGAAATTTAAGAGAAATGTGTTATATTTTGAGGTTGGGATAGAATTACCCTTACTACTACTATTAATACTAATGCCAATAACTCACTAACTGTTTTATTGCACTGTAAACAAAAACTCTTCCTGGCTGTAAGTCTGTCAAATTACAATGCTATTACTTTATTGTAATCAAACAAATGTTTTCTTTAACATTTAATTAACAACTAGTTTTGTTAGATCCAATTAAGTTTTTTTTGTTACAGTTTAACCTGCATGATAGTAACACTGGGTTTCCAGCATGCTAGTCTTTCCCAGTTATATGCAAAGTGTTGGTAAATCTGCAAAAATACAGCAACACTTGTAGCAGAATTAAACAATCTAAATATATATAATTACTTGTCCTGACTGATTGACTGACTGGGTGACTGATTGATTCATCATTGCCCAGGGCAAACTACTGAACCTAAAGAGGTAAAATTTGGTACACAGTTAGAGTACGTCATTAAAATGCACACTAAGAAGGAATTTTTCGAAATTCCCCCGCAGGGGGAGAGGCTTAACCAGAAAAAAGGCTTCTACTGTACTATTTTAGATGCAATTTTTTGTTTTTAACTGCAATTTAGTAGGCTATTCCATGCGAATGCACACTAAGAAGGGATTTTTCGAAATTTCACCGCAAGGGGGAGAGAGAGAGCATTAAAGCTTACCAGAAAAATGGCTTCTACTGTATTATTTTAGATGTGATTTTTTGTTTTCAACAACATTTAGTCTTCATTGAGTGCTTAGGTGTATTAAATTGACAACATTTCAGACATTGTTATAAATATTTTTATATATTTTGATTTTTTAACCAAATGTTTGAACTGTTTTAAATTCAAATTTGTTATTGCATATTGGTTCAATTATAGAATGATTGTAAACGTTCCAGAAAGTTGATCAAATTGAAAACAGTTTGTTTGATTCTCAGCAGTAGATGTTATATAACAATTACTATGGTTGTTGAAATACTGAATATAAATGGTGTTCGCTTGCAAAATCCGCGCGGGCAAAGTCGCAGGTAACAGCTAATATAAAAATAAAACTGTTATATGAATTATTATAGAAGGACTGAAAGTGATAACAATCCAATAATTTTTCTTATTAATACTTTATGTANTCTAGCGAATATGGTTGGTGTGATAGCACATCCCATCTAAGTTATAACAGTTTCTGATGAGTTACCAAACTTGTGTGAAATTTGACATCATCGTGGTAAAACACTACACCTGTTTTGTTGATCAATTCTGGCCGTCTTTTCTGTTTGCTGATATTACTCAATTTGTTTACTCGATTGCAGTACACTTTCGAATTAATTGTTAAACTGTCTGGTAAAAGCTCCAAAAAAAAATTTCCTTAATATCCCACCAAATAGAGCATTTTTCTTTAAGAACTCGTGGAATTCATATATCAAGCTTTGAAACGAAACCAATTTGTTTCAAGTACTCATAAACAGTTCAATTTGACAAATTTAATCTATTAGTAATTTCATGTGTTGTTATTCCACAGTTTGCTTCAATCGGTATTTTTATTTTGTTTTCATTGGCTTCAATTGGCCATCCATAACGTGGTGCATCTTCAATACTGAAATTGCGAGAACGAAATTTTGTAAACCAGTTTTGGCACTGTCGTTCTGTCAATACATCTTCTCCATACACATCACACAATTTTTTTCTCACTTGAACAGCATTCTTACCTTTTCGGTAATAAAAGAGCAAAATATGTCGAAAATGCTGCTTTCGATCTTCCATATTTGATGAAACACAAAAAATAAACAATTGCACAAATTTACAGAAAATTTTTTACAAATAAGCCTTAAAATGCTAGCTGTCAAAATATATAATGATAATACGGTTTAGAATACAACTAGTGGTAAAAAAAACTTACTTTCCGAACAAACTAATAATTTTAAATTATATTCAAAATTGATTTTTTAGGCATTCCAACCTATCCCCTCTAACAAGAAACCTTGTAGTATCTTATATCTTTACATGTATAGCATTATATGGATCGTTTTTCTTTATGGAATGTGTGTTTCTATAACAACCACATTCCAACTGAAATTTTGCTTAAAACAATTCATTAAATTTACACTGATTTTTTTAGCAATACATTTAAATTCAATAAAATAAATTATTTCCAGTTGTATGACTCATTTAAGTTTCTTACCAGATCTGAAATTCCTTCATATAATGAAAGTGAAATACTTTGTAACTCCAAGCCAAATATAATTCTATCATAAATTTTCTGAGGAATAAGTTTTGAAATTTCAATATCCTTTTTGATAGCTATAAGGTAAAAACAATTGTATGATTACATGTAAATATCAATACTTAAACAAATTTCATAAAAAGAATTGTAACTATTTATTAAAAGCTCATTGGAAAAAAAAAATTTTTTTCATCTTTTTGTTTATAGTTTATTGATCGACGTTATTAGTATTTTAGAAAAATTATTTTCTTCCTTTTTATTCGATTCATAGGGAGATTATTGCTCGAAATCCTTACTCTTCTATTAAGACATTCCCTTAGGAAATAAATGTGCAGCTGGTGAATTTCTGAGCTTAAGCTAAACAAACGGACAAAGTCCCAGAGATTTGATGAATAGTACAAATAAAGAAAAAGAAAAAACAGTAGAAAGTTAACAAGCACTAAAATACTGAAACGGTAGGTAGGATCACAGAAGAAAGGTCACCAATCGATCATAGACAATTTATCATTCCAGAAATGGAGAATTAGTTTGAGCCAGTTTTGCAAGTCATAAGTGTCTCTATGTTGAAGAAATTCGACAGTCAACAAACGCGCAGAGGCGAATATGATTTCATTTCTTAAAAATTATCCAATGTTAAATCAATTTTAAAAAATGGACTAAAAATGGTAAAACACAGTCCTGGTCGGTTCGAGTCCGGAGTTGAGTGGAACATTGGTGTTCGTTATGGTACAAATTTGCATGCACACAATACAGGAATCATCAGCTAGGCAATAGCCTCCATCGATATCATTATATTACGCCTGGTGTTTTTAAACATGATTCGATATGCGCAGCTGTGCAATTCCAACATCTATGACAACGATACCAGCAGTTCGCTCTTGTTTTTATTACTGCATTATTCCGAGTTTCTGCTAAGGTATGAATAGAGGCTACTTTTTCGTGTCCCACTCTGTATTTGCGAATTAGGCTATATTAAGGACATAATTATACAGAAACATTAAAAATCTGGATAATTCAAAAACCGTTTTTATTAATCATTTTGTAGATGATAACTTCTTATTTATTTTTTAAATGTTTTTTATTATTATTTTCTATAAAACTTAAAAAATCTAATTTTCAAATGAATGAATGAATAAATCATAAAAATACTAAATAAATAATGAATTCTTGATAAGCTGTTTAGAAAATAATTGTCAAAGTTATAAGAAATAACTTTTTAGAATATGCAAGGGATTACTTTTTACATCCGATATAATTTTGTATTTAAACCAACAATAATAGATCTTTAATA